CCGCAAAATACACATCTACAGTCTTCCGTTCTACCATCTGAACTATCATGGGTTCGGTTTGTTTACTGTCAAGGATGATCGACACAATATAGCTAGTTGAAAATTACTATTTTTTTCTAAAAAAAAAACACTTTTTTGCTTTAAATTATGATTACCATGGTCATTAGTTACATATGGTTCTAAATCAATAGAAAGATATTATATGACAGCTGACACCACTATTCTTCAGTTTTTTTTATCTTTGACTTATCACATAACTTTAGACAATACATTTTTCAGTCAAGAATAACTGATTTCTGACGAAGCAAAATTATCCATATATGAATATAGTTGTGTATTCAATACAAATTCTAGTGAAACAACAGGTAAGCTTAGAATAATGTATCAATAGATCTATTATATTCTAGATGCATTAATCTGTTTACTAATCGTAATGAACAATTAAGAGTTTATTTTATGTGCATAAATTAATGAAAAGAGACAGAACAAATAGGAGTTCCGCGAACCAGGGACCTAAAGATTACAGCATAATGTATACATCTACAGTCTTCCGCTCTACCAACTGATGTCATGCTGGGATATGATAATTTATCATATGCATATCAATAGAATTATATTCATCATCATTTTAACTAATAAACATACAAAAAATCGAATTATTTAATTTCTTAATAAATTCAAAACTCTTCTTTTTTAGGATAGAATTCTAAGAAATAAATTTTAATAAAATTTGCCTGTAAAAAAAGTTCTACTATATAACTAAATCTTAATAAATAAAATATCAAATTATAATATCAATACTTGGACGATGGCTAAGTGCACCATCTTTCAAAAGATATTTTGTTGGTTGTTTAAATTATGTGATTCATCAAATGTTATAGTAATATGTACAGTTGATAATCGATAGAAATCGAAAAACTGTATTTCACAAACAATGTCTTATCCAAATAATGAATTAAATCGGAATCGTGATCCACGATGTCGAGATCGTTCTCGTTCTGAAATTCGTCGAACTGATACTACAGATACATTTCCATCTTCATCAACTATAAATCAAACTTTAAGACAAGAACATTCTACATCAAAAACTAGTGTAGTTGATTTTTTAAAAACACTTGGTATTAATTCACAATTAATTCAAGCATTAATTAATGCAAATCCTCCAAAAATCGAACAAATTCAGCAACAACCTCAACAACCATTAATAAATAATGCTCAAGAATTTGCTTCATTTCTCAGTCAAAGCTATGGACTTGATTCAACTATAAATAATTCTACATTGAATCAACCCGTTAATCGAGGTAATGACATAATCAAAAAATAAACTCTTCAAATTTTATTCATTTCTCTATAGATCCTCGACGTCGACAAATATCAACTTTACCCACTCCAACTATATCAACAAATTCTAATCATAATACATCCATGGAGATTTTACCTAGATTTACTCAATCAAATCATATATCTTTGTCTATAGATGAATCATATAAACAATATTTATCTTCAATTAATCAATCATTATTAGATAATGAAACACGTAAACATTTTCAACGTATAGCATTACTCGATAATGAATTAGATAAATTACATCATATGAATAATGAATTAATAAAAACTAGTGAAAAACGTTCCAGACGACGTACATCAACAAAATCGAAAGATCCTTTATTAAAAGAAAATGAAAATTTACAAACTGAACTTATTGATTATATAAAAACATTAAAAACAACAATGATGATTAATTATCCCATATATATGTTCAGTAATTCTACAATTAATCAAAGACAATAATAGTTTTTATTGTATTTTCTTTTTTTTGTTTTGTTTTTCCAAAATATATCACAAGTGATAGATGTATTTATACAAAAACTAATATAAATTGTCAAGTGCAAAATTAATTCATAAAGAACCTGTCTGAAGTAAAGTACGTTCATAATAGCAGGAATTATTTACTATTTTTATATATAGAACAAAAATGCATACCTTTGGCTTAAATAATTCTATAGATTTTGATTAAGACTTCTTAGAATGACTTCGAAATATTCTTTCCTAAAAAATTTGACGGGACAAAAAAACGTAAAAGGAAATCTGCTAGTCTCTTATTGTTTTTATTTTTTGACGGATATTCTCTACTATCAAAGATATAAATAAATTAGATTGTAACCTTACGTGTTTTCTGGAATTCTTTCTTATTTCGAATAATCTTTTCAACTTATTGTGCAATAGTTTTTATTGTATTTTCTTTTTGTTTTTTTTTCCGAAATATGTCAGCAGTGATAGATGTATTTATACACAAACTAATATAAATTGTCACGTTCAAAGCAATCTGTCTGATGGAAAGTACATTCATATTTGCAGGAATTATTTACTATTTTTGTATAGAGAACAGAAGGTCACACCTATGACTTAAATAATTCTATAGATTTTTATTAATACTTCTTACAATGACGTAGAAAGATTCTTTCCTAGAAAATTTGACAAAACAAAAAAACACAATAAGAACTCCGCTAGTCTCTTATTGTTTTCATTTGTGCTGGATGTTCTTCACTATCAAAGATATAATTATAAATAAAGTAAATTATAACTTTACGTGTTCTTAAGAACTTTCTCGTTTCAAATTATAGTGCATGGGCAAGTAAATATTTAAAGTTTATGGCGTGTTAGAATCATATAGTTTCTATTTTACTTTTCTCTTGTTCCTGACATTTTTGAAATAGAAAAAAAATAATTTGATGTACCGAACAAGAAATTAAATTGGTGTAAGTAACGTCTTTTTATTCTAGTTTAAAGGTTCTATTCAGAAACTTTACGTAATGTAATTTATGTTTCCTTTTTATATAATAGTAATATATTAGATTCATTATTTTCTGTCTAGCGACATTATTATGAACATCTATGTAAAAAGAATATAGGAACGTGATGTGGATTAGTCTAGAATTTACCTTTTCATTTACTTACAAGTTTGTAAACCCTAGATAGATAATCCAGTCAGTTTTTTATGATATCATTATCCTTTTTTTGCCATAATATGAAAGGTTATCTGGTAGTGAGCTATTCTTTAAAGGAATAAAAAAATAATTGTAAACATATTTTGTCTCCTTTTTATTTATCTCGGATGAGTATGCTTGAAGGAGGTATAAACCTAATCTTGTGCTTGTAAATCATCCCATTTCCTATGACTTTTGTAAAAGATTGTACTCGGGTAAGTATTGAATTGTACTTTACAAATAGAGGAATTGATAAAACATAGGCAATGATTATTTTCCGGTATAAGAAAATTGGCATCTCTACGTTATCATATTTCATCTCATCAAATAAACGATGATCGTTTTATTGATAAAAAGCGACTAGTCTTCTAAAATAATGAACTACTATGATATACTCACTACAACAGTACTTTCATGTCTATGGTCTTTTTAAATTCCTAGACAAGTATGTTTATCTTTAGTACTTCAGACACTTGCCTATTTGTTAATCCCGAAGGCACGGACATGAAATTAAATGTTAATACGGATTGTCGCTTCGTTATTTATGACATTAATCAAACGTTAGCCTAGGAAATGCTCATATTCCGTTTATTTAACTCAAATGTCACGGTTCTGTGCAATTAAGAAATTGTGGGATGAGAAATTTCTCGAATATTCTCTGTCAGATTAAAATGTGAAGTCTAAAAGCATTTATAAGATTAATAAAATAATGTATTCAAGTCAAATTCATTCTAAATGGTTTTAGTGTATCGATAAGTTCGTGAATTTATATTACAGTAGTGTAGAAAATATGTTTGTTGCTATTGATTTATATTATTTTTAGTTTACGTTATATCAGAGAAGTCGAGAGAACACTTAACAAACAAAAGAATGTCATTATGAGATTATATATAGTTATTTCGTAGATAAAATGTTCTTAACATACATTTGTTTTCTTATTATATTCATTTAAGATTTTTTGAATTAAATATGAATATAACAAATAATATAAATTCTAACGATCAATTATTTATTGATACTTTAAAATTATTACAAAAACAATTAACTTATACTGTATTAGTATCACTATTTATTATCGGAAATATTGGATGTATACTTAATACAATGATTTTTCGTTGTTCAAATTTAATCTCATCATCATGTTCACATTATTTTCTGGCATCATCATTTGCTAATGTATTTCAACTTAATATTGGTCTTGCTAGTACAATACTTGATTATGGTTTTAATATTCATCCATTTCATACATCATCTATTCTATGTAAATTTCGTAATTATTCAATTAATATTGGTGGTTTTCTATCTCAAACATATATACTTTTAGCTTGTATTGATCGTTATTTAGTAAGTGTCAATAAAACTCGTTATCGACAAATATTAACAATAGCAATGGCACATAAAATTATTTATTTTATTGTTTGTTTTTGGAGTATTAGTCTTTCTCATATGATTATTTATAGTAATATTAGTTTACAAAATCAATTTTGTTATTATTCAAATTCAATTTATGTTATATTTATTTCTTTACATAATTTAATTCTTTCAGGATTTATTTTACCTATTCTAATGGTTATTTTTGGTTTATTAACATTAAGAAATATAAGAATTATTCGACAACGAGCACATGCTCGTCGTGATCATAAACGACGAAATCATTATTTAAGTCTAATGCTTATTAGTAATGTATTTGTTAGTGTTATATTTACATTACTTTATACAAGTGGTCTTATATATATATCATATTTTATACCATCAAAAGAAAGTTCATATAGACAAAAAATGCAAATTCGATTTATATCATTTATTGCAATTATTTTTTATTATACACAATATTCAGTATCATTCTATGTTAATATTTTGACATCTCAACGTTTTCGTTGTGAATTAAAAAAGTTTTTACATTCAAAAAGAAAACAATTGACAACGATACTTCGATATTAAAAATAAATTTGTATCATAAAATGAATATTTGTAAAGAATTCGTTCAGGTCAAAATTTCCGAACGCAGTTTTTCATGTACTGAAACTAAGATTGAGAATGTGCCATATTATATAAATATATAGTTCTGTATTTGATCGATAAATTGAGTATGTCAAGTAATCCGGAAAAGAAATAAATCATCTCGAAAGGTTTCGTCGTTTAGTTATAGATGAGGATGTTAGTGTGGAAGAAGATTAGTCTGTACTTATACAGGTATGTATGAGTTTGATCGAAAGTAAAAATATCGAAAAGTTTAAAAACGATAGGAATAAGATGTTAGCAGTGTCACTGTTGTTAGAAATCTACAATAGGTAAAAGTATATTTTTAATCATTTTATTCAAACAATAGTAACAAAATAAATATAACAAAATAATAAATAATTATATATGAACTAATAATGGTTTATCTGGCATGGGAGCAACTGAGCGAAATGATTTTTTTCAATGAGGGTATAGACGAAAAGTGATGGTGAGGGCGAAAATTGCTTCGCAGTTGTGACTTTCGCGCATTTGTTTTTGCTGAAAAACTTGTTCACAGATATAATTTTTCGCTCAATGGACACCGTATCAATCTTCTTCCTAGTACTTTCCTGACATCAACTTTACTAACATGTTATCTTAAACCATTTTCGACATTTTTTGTTTTCGATAATTCGCCTTTCGACTAAAGCCAATACATTCCTTATACATCCACACCTACATTCATCCTCACCCACCCACCCACACTCATCGATCGTACCGAGCTTCTCGAAGAATTCTCATTTATGGTGGCTTCAAAGAAATAAGCTCATCAGATTACCTTTCATATTTCTGCAGCTTTTACTTGCTATGTCCTCTATCATTAATAAAGTTCGAGTATCCGTATTTTTTCTTTTCCAGATTACTTGATATCATCGATAAATTCAATTGGAAAATGATAAGATATTTTTTACATAATAAAGAAAAAGAATTTATTTTATGCTAGAATAATGCACATCTCTTTTTTTAAGTTAAATGAATAATTATATTCAAAAACAAAACATTTACAAAATAACAATATTCAATGCTCGTGATCACTATCAATCATATGTAAATCTTCTTCAATTTGTGACTTAAGTTCATCCTCAATATCATCATGGTCACTTTTTTCATCATCACTTTCATCATCATGATCATCATGATAATCTGATCCTTCTTCTTCGTCTTTTTCATATTTGTGTTTTGATAATTCATAAGTTGCTTCTTCAACAGCTTCTTCAGCATCAGCTGTATAACCAATACGTTCTTCAACATCTTTAAGTTTCATTTCATCATCTTCATTACGAATTAAATCAATATGATTCGAATAACAACCACTACCACCAATTCCAGCATATCCAGGTATATCGCATGATGTAAAGTGCCCCCAACCTTCACCAGTTCCCCATAATGTATCACCATAATCATAACCAGCTTTTTGTAATGGATTTGGTTTCGAATTCATAGCATGACGTTGTAAATTAGTTCCAATAAGACCAGCTGCTAATGGAATTCCAATTCCACTTGGTCTAAATACGAGTGGTTCGGGACTATTCATTTGAGCTAAACAATTGGGAGAAGAAACAAATTATTCATAAAATCTTATACTGAATCAAAGTTTTTACGTGAACTAATTTCTGAACTTATGGAATCATTCTCGTCAACTGATGGTGAAGAAATCTTAGCCATTTTATCCATATGTAGTTCATGTGATGGTAACTAAACAATATTAATAGTAGATTGATAATAATTATAAAATAAATCTACATACTGTTAAAACAATAGATTTCATCCATGAACTTTAAAACAAAACAAATATATTATTATCATTTAAATTATAATATCTTACTTTAAATCATCTATATCTTCACATAAAAGCCATATAATATCTCGATCACGATCTTTTATAGACATTGGAAAAGCGATAAGTGCCACTTGATCATATTCATTGTCAAGATGAGGAAAATCAGGTAAACATCTATTTTAATTATATCGCATAAAAGCAAAAAGATAATCGTTAATTAAATATACCTAGTATATGGACCAACACAAATAAATCGTTCAACATCCTTTAAAAAAATGATTCGTTTTTTTTTATTTAAATATTATTTATAAGACAAACTTTCAGTAAAACCATTCCATCAGGTTTCTTATGTTTAATATCAGCATACCATGTAAGTAAACTCGAATCATAGAGTACAAATTTATATGCCTTCCATTTTTTATGTAATAAACCTCCTAAAGAAAAAAACAGGTGTCTAATTTATTAACAAAAATTTAATTTAATTTTCACATACGATGATAAAATTTAAGCATGCCTCGTTTTACTTCACTCATGATTGTATTTGATATGTATATACTATCGCAAATAAGCAATGGATTAGAAAAAGGTCATTTTCTCTATTGTTCATTCGGTCAAACCAATAAGAGTATATGTCCAGTTGTGTCAAGTGGACAATGGATTAAGGAGGGGGCGCCATTCATCAGTATAATATAATGATATTCCCCGTCTTATTATTTTTCTACTTTCAATAATAATTAGATATATATTGTCATTCATCGGAAGAAAAAACATAATTATTTCATACTTATATGAAATCTTGTTATATAACACGCGATTAGCCATAATTGGAGTCGGTATAAATTATTTGCGTACGAATACAATATTTAATCATGGCAAAAAAAAGTGACAAAGAGACACGTTTTTCTTTAGTAGAAGTTGCTAATAAAATAGAAGAGGTAAGTTATATATTTATATTATAATTAATTAGATAAATAAATTATTTCTAGTCACGTGTATTCTGGAATCGAAGTCAATCTTTACCTGAAAAACCCATCGTACCACAAGAAAAACCTGTAGAACCAGTATTACAAAAACCTAAATTACCGCATTATACACCACTGGATAGTATAATGTACCCATTAATGTACGCTATTCGATGTAAGTCATGGGTAAAAGCAAGAAAATTATGTCATGAACTTATTTTATGTGATCCGGAACAAAAAATTTATCAAGGTCTTTATATACGGCTTGTTCAACTAACAAATCTTATTGATCAGCAAAATTATTCACGAAATTCACGAGCGAGTAGTAGATCAAGAACAACAATAACAGAAAGCGATATGTAACAAACTTTCAATTAAGAACAATAATCTTTTTGATTACAGTCATACGGAGATATGAATATAAATGTTATACAAAATCTGTGTAATTTATTTTTTTTTCCTCAAAATCAAAACATTCATTTAATCATTCGCAAATAAAACTAATGATGAATATATTATATATATTCAGAAAAAATGTTTACTGTTTAAGTTTCTCTAGTATTCGTTTCGCTTCACGATGACCACTTTCAAAAGCACTATCAACACAACCAATTGTTCCATTATAATTCGTATGTTCACCAGCCCAATATATTCGTTCATGACATTCTTTAGCAAGATCAATTAATGTTTGATTATCTGAACCAACAGCAAAATTTGAATAAGAACCATAAGAAAATGGATCTTGATTCCATTTTGTTATAAGAGACTGAATTGGTTCAGGTACATTTCTATCTGAAAAAATACGCCGTAATAAAATCATTATTTCATCAATTGTTTCTTGATCATTCTTTTGTTCGATTTCTAATGCAACTTGACCAGCCACTTTAATATAAAGTAAACAAACATCAGATCGACATAGAATAAAACGAAATCGACGTGATGTACAAAATATAGCAGTATCTTTCGAATCCCAGAAAGTATATGGAAATTGAATAAGAATTTTATTTGATATACCAACGCCCATGCTATCAATTGCATTTTGTTTCCATTCAGGTAATTTTGGTATAAATTCAACTGAATGATTTTTTAAACATCCAAGTGGAATTGTAACAAGAACATATTTACATAAAAATATACGTTTATCGTTCGTATATATTTTAACAAGTGAATCTACTGATGAAGTAACGATACAAGTTACAATACAATTCAATTCAATAGGTAGTTTTTGTTGTTGAACTAGTTGTTCAATAAATGTACCTAGACCATTTGGTATAGCTAAATTAAATTCAGGAATGTCATTATCAGCTTTTAAATAGGATTTAGTTGAAAGTTGATCAAGATTTGATGCTTCATATTGTTCAATAATACCAAAAAATAAATCAATTAATCGTTTTATTTGAGAATCATTCGTACAATTATCATATTCATTTTTAATAACATCAAATATTGATTTATCTATTGTCAGGGATGATGATGAATCTTTTATTTTTGTACACAATCGATTGAATATCTCTTCTGCTTGATCGATTTTATCAGATGAAATTTTTGTACCGTCAATATCAAAGAATGGTGTTGTTGATGAACGTAAAATAAAGTGATAATTAGGATGATCTTTTGATAATTGAAAATATTTATATAGAGGATTTTCAGGTCGATAATGATGTAACCATTGAGCACCTAAATCAACAGGAGCATTTGTACCAAATGTGGTTCTATCTGTAATAACACGACCACCAACACGATTACGAGCTTCAAGTAGAATAAATTTTAATGGTGATATGAGTTGAAAATCAAGTGCGGCTGCTATTCCAGCAGGACCACATCCAATGATAACTACATCAAAAATTTCACCTTCACACGTCATCATATATAAGATATCAAAGATAAAAGAAAAATATATATCTATGACAAACTAAAAGAAATTATTATTTTGATTTTGTAATAAATTTTCATGTTTATATGCATCGATAGTAATATTAGCATTAATAAAATGCATATCATTAATCTGCTATACACAGATGGTTGTCAGCTCTAGGGCATCGATTTTATTAAGAAAAAAAATTAAACGACGCAATTGGCAATGATTCAGTAAAAACTATCACTCATATGTTTTATGTTTTATGTCTTTTGCGTTTCTTTACATACCCTTGATGTAATATGTGGATGAAGGACTAAATATTCGAGAACAACCTTTAGCTACTATTTTTATCTTTCTCTTTCTTTGTTCTCTTGACAGAAATGTAAATAAGGACAAAAGAAAAAAAGAAAAATGATACATATATATATGTGTGTGTGTATTCTATCAGCTTTCATTATATCGATATACGTTAATAAAGCACAACTAAATTTCTACTCTTTACCTCGCACGAAATATCATTATGTCTGATCATTCAAAAACCGAAGGACATTGGGAATCACATTCCTATTCATCGAAAACAACTAAAATTGGTGATAATCCAGCAATTGTTACTGGCAAAGAAGCCGATGCTGAAGGAGCTTTCGATGTAAGTAATTTATTTATTATCTGTATTAAAAATATATTCTATACTATTTATTTATATAGCATGGTAAACCAGTAGTTACAGAATCTCATGCTACTTCATTTTCAAATGTTGGCCATCCAAACAAAATCGAAATTAAAGATGAAAGCAGTGGCAATCACAAATCTATTAAATAAATCTCTTTTTCATAGATAAAGACATTTTTACAATACATTCCTTAATCAAGCAAACCAATAAAAATTTTCTGATATCATGTAGTTGTACATTTTTTTTCTAAAAATAAACTGCAAATAATCTTAAAATATGATGTTGATTGAAATGACAAATATGCAAAACAAGACATCTAATCATGTTTCTACACATGTATTAAAACTTACTTCACTGTTCTTTTTTAAATCAATGTAAAATATTGTATCTGTTCATGATTATATCATTGAAATAGATTGTATAGTGATAGTTATTCATCTTTTGAAAACGAGATACTTGATGCTAATGTTGATTATTGTATTTTCATCTTTGTTAAACCTTAATAACATGGATTGAATTGAAGTACTATTAGAATTATCGAATATTATTAATGAATATATTATTTGATATAATGTAATCAAATATTAGCTTATGTCTATCTCTCTCCATGTTACATTGAATCGTCGATATGATCTTTTTATTATTCAACAAAATCCAGTAAATAACCTCATTTTGAAGAACTCAAATTAATGAAACATCACTTTAGTATTAATAGAAACTTCAAAGATAGCTGAAAACAAAATAATTACTAATACACATTCTAGTATTCAAAAAGAATACTTCAAATTATCATCTATGTAACAAAAAATCTGGATAAAATATGTTTTATCTTCTGGTTTTCCTTATTTTATGTATAGTGTTCAATATTCTTTTTGTGACAAATAATTAAAAAAACGGACTGAATTGTTCATGCACATATAAAAATTATATTTTCAAATAAATATTGTTATTCTCAACCAGAGACAGTAGTTGTGATGGTAACGATTGTACTTGTTATAATTGTTGTTGTTGGTAGTTGTGGTGTTACGCTTGGTGGAGTAACTGAATTGGTTAGAGTTATTAATGGTAAAGAATACGTATCATTACTATACAAGATTGTTGCATTACCATCTACAACAGATAGTGGCTGTAGTGTAGACAATGCGAAATTAAAGGTACTTTCAGCAGGACTTGCATGTAGGCATTTATCGATTAAAATAATAACGGGATCGAATGATTGTAGTGCATCTTTAAGCACTGTAAGATCAGGCTTATTTTGTTGTGTACTATTGAAATAAAGTGTACCATTTAAATAAATGAGTGCTGGTTGAGCAGAGCCGTCGGAATACATCGAAATATTACAATGGCTGACATCTCCGCTGTTGGGATTCATTGTATCAAAAGTGCTAAAAATATGTGACATAATAGTAGAGGATAGAAACGAAGAAGTGGAAAAAGATCAGGTTAATGATCAAGAGGAGTATATTATTAGGTATGCTTAATGCAAGAAAGTGATGTATAATAATGCAAATGCTTCTAATATCAATACCGGATGGTATTCATGCTATTGGATGTAAATTCACATAATTGCATTCTGTACCTACCCTAAGAATGCTCTCATATTATAGAAGATTAGGATCTAAGCATACTTTCATATAATAAAAAAATGAGGACTCAATGGCACTTTCTTAATATGAAAGATGATGAATTAAACTATGACTACGAACGAATCGTAATCATTTTTAGTCCAATACAATTCTAGAATTGGATTTGGTGCATACCTATACCGCATTGTTGAAGCTGTGCTGGCAAAATTTGACATCGTTGAAGTCATAGATGTTGTTGAATATGTTCCTTGATTCGTATGCGGAGGGATGAGTGTCGTACCACATCGAGGACAACCAGGTCGAGAAGAACTATCAATAGTACACATACAGTTCTGTCGCCGTCTCCTTATTTGAGTAGTCGTTTTTTGAGGGTACAGTGAAATTCCGTAAGTATAAGCTTTAATGAAAGTAGTCGGAAATTTTCCTGATAAATATTCATTTAAATCTCCAGTAAGATCTATAAGTGTTTGTGTTGTATTAAAATATGCGTCGTATTCATATGGTTGAATTATACGATTGAATACAAGTGATGATGATGATTGAAGTACTATTGTAGTTTCAAAGAAGGGATCGGTAATTCCAGTTTGAGCTGCCATTTTTGCCAAGACCACACCTACTGCAATACCAGCAGCAATCACCGCAATTGTGGTAGTAATCGTAGCTACGTTGATAGAAGTGCGAAGAAACAATGCTGGATCATGAATCATCCTCAAAACTCTAGATATTTTTTATTTCTAAAGACAAATGTCCAATGAATATTTATTTGTAATATATGTTAACTGAAATCAGTGTTTCACTATACAAAATATATAGCGTTTAAATATATGACTTTAGCGAAAATACGCCATTACATAAAAGAAAATGATGTAATATATAAATAAGTACGCATGCATCAACCCCTTTAACTAATTGGAACAAGATAAAAACGCATGATATACGAGAAGAAAATAGAGATGGTAATGTAAAGCAACATATACTAATATTTATTTTCAATCAATCGAAGCTGCTTTTTTCTTTTTTTTGAATATTCGACGAGACAAATTATAATGATATACCTGTGTAGTAAAATGATTGAATAAAAATATATAGTGATAGTTTTTTAATTATTGTAAGAAATAATTAAAACACTCATTAGCTGATTCAGATACATATAAAAATTATATTTTCAAATAAATATTGTTATCATCAACCAACGAGAGGAATGGTTGTTTCTAAGACGGTTGTAGTTGATGTCGTTGTTGTTGTCGATGCCTCGGTTGGTGAAGAAACGCTATTGGCTTCATTAAATAATGATGTAGGAATGATATTAGCGTTAGCAAAAAATGATATATCACCAACTACTTCAGATGGTGGCTGTATTGTGAACAATACCGAAACTAAAGGCACTTTCGCTGGAACTTTTATTTACACATTGATCAGCTAAAACAATAACTGGACTGAATGATTTCAATGTGTCCATAATTACACCACGGTTAATGTCATTGTCTTTTGTAATATAGAAATGAAGTGTACCATTTTGATAAATGATTGATGTTCGACTACTGCTGTTATCATTGCTATTGAGCAGTCGTTGCTGATATGGTAGTTGTTTGAGAAGCGTTAATAATACTTGATGTAGTAGTAGTAGTAGGAGAGAGAGTGATAAAAAAGTGGAAGAATATCGAGTTGATGATTGAGAAGAGTATCACACTGTTGAAGATGTGGTGGTAGAAATTGACGCAGATGAATGTGCAGTATATGAAGGATCTGTTACAACTGTAGAGGCGGTTCCAGTTGTTGTGTCAGGTGAATTAATAGGCATTGTTGGGGATATTTCTTGAGTCGTCTGGAAGATGCTAGATTTCATACTACAATCTGCACGACTTCCAGAACAATAACCATTGTCAGAACACCCGTACTCATCTACCCGTTTTCTTCTTTGACCAGTAGGATTTTTAAGATTTAACGGAAATCCCAAAATAACAGCTTTAATAAAATTATTCGAAAATTTTTCTGACAAATGTTCATTTACTTCTTCAGTAAGATATATAAATGTTTGCATTATATTATAATATGCGTCGAATTCATATAGTTGAATTATCCGATTAAACACAAGTATTGATGGTGATTGAGTTATTATTGTAGTTTGACGGAAGGGATTCTCCGCTAATTCAGCTAGTAGTTTTGATACAACCACATCCACACCCTCAAGATGGTTTTTTGAATATTCAACAGGGATAAATCCAAATGATATGTCTGCGAAGTATAACGACTGGATTAGAGTATATAGTAGTGGTATTTGAAAAAAATAGTTGCGCTAATTAACAACGCAACACGTCTCACTTGTTTTTTTCTTTTGATGTTAAAATACAAAAATATGTACTCCTACTTGACCTATGTCGCAGTTTATTTTCTTATTTATATTTATTTTATTAAAGATTTTATCAGAGATTATGAATACATTTTTAGTATGATATATTTACATATCATTGATTTATGTAGCATAGCAAACCAGTAGTTACCGAGTCTCATATTATTTCACTTTCAAATGTTGACCATCCAGACAAACTCGAAATTAAAGATGAAAGGAGTTGTAATCACAAATGTATTAAAAAAATCTCTTTTTCACAAATAAAGACATTCTTACAATGCAGTCCTTGATCAAACAAATTCGATTTTTTTTAAAACTAAACTACAAAAAAATCTTAAACTGTAATGTTGATTGAAATGACAAATATTCAAAATAAGCCATTTTATCTAATTATGTTTTTATACATGCATTGAAACTTACTTTATCATTCTTTTTTAAGGTAATGTAAAGTATTGTATCTTTTCATGATTATTGTATTTTCATCTTTGTTAAACCTTAACAACATGTATTAAATTGAAGTATTAGTAGAATTATCGAATGTTATCAATGAAAATAATTCGAATCTTTCTTTAAAGTTTTTGTATTATTTATGAATATATTATTGGATATAATGTAATAAAATATTAGATTATTTCTATTCTTCTACATGTTTCATAGAATCGTCGATATGATCGTTTTATTATTCAACCAAATCCAGTAAATAACCTCATTTTGAAGAACTCAAATCAGTGAAATATCACTGTAATATTAATAGAAACTTCAAGGATAGCTGAAAACAAAATAATTACTAATACAAATTCAAATAGGAATTCTTGCTTCAAAAAGAATACTTGGCAAGTTTACATTGAACAGTTAATATCTCAAAATATCATCTTTACCACAAAAGATCTATATAAAATCTGTTCTATCTTCTGGTGTTTCTTATTTTATATGTAGTGTTTAATATTCTTTTTGAAACAAATAGTTAAAAAAAAACCTGGCTAAATAATTCATAAACACGTAAAAATTATATTTTCAAATAAATATTGTTATTCTCAACCAAAGAGAGGAGTAGTTGATTGTGTTACGGTTGTAGTTGTTGTAGTTATCGTCGTCATTGTTGATAGTTGTGGTGTAGTAACTGAATTAGTCAGACTTACTAATGCTAAAGAATACGTATTATTCTTATTTAAGACTGATGCATCACCATCTACAACAGATAGTGGCTGTACTGTGGACAATGCGGAATTAAAGGTACTTTCGGCAGGACTTTTCTGTAGACATTTATCGATTAAAATAATAACTGGATCGAATGACGCTAGTGCATCTATAATCACTGTAGGATCAGGCTTATTGTCTTGTGTACTATTGAAATAAAGTGTACCATTTAGATAAATGAGTGCTGGTTGAACAGTGCCGTCGTAATACAACGAAATATTACAATGGTTGGCATTTTCGCTGTTGGTAGTCATTGTATCAAAAGTGCTAAAAATATATGAGATAATAGTAGGAGATAGAAACGAAGAAGTGGAAAAAGATCAAGTTGATGAACTAGAGGAGAACATTATTAGATATGCACCAAATTTTCATCTTATATATTATGAAGGTATGTCTAAGGCAGGAAAGGCATGTGATAATGCAAATGCTTCTAATATCAATACCAGATAGTACACATGCTATTAGATCTATATTCACATTATTACATTCCTCTCCTACTCTGAGAATGCTCTCATGTTATAGAAGATTAGGATCTAAGGACACTTTCATATAATAAAGAATGAGGACTTAAACTATGCCTACGAACGAATCGTAACCATTTTTAGTTAAATCCAGTTCTAGAATTGGATTTGATACACACCTATACAGCATTGTTGAGGCTGTGCTGGCAAAACTTGACATCGTTGTATGTATTCCTTGATTCGTCTGCGACGGCATGGAAGTTGTACCACATCGAGGACAACCAGCTTGAGGAGAACTACCAATAGTACACATACAGTTCTGTCGCCGTCTTCTTCTTCGAGTGGTAGTTTTTTGTGGGTATAGCGAAATTCCGTAAGTATATGCTTTAATGAAAGTAGTCGGAAATTTTCCTGACAAATATTCATTCAATTCTCCAGTTAGATCTATAAGTGTTTGTGTTGTATTATAATATGAGTCGAATTCATATGGTTGAATTATACGATTGAATACAAGTGATGATGATGATTGAAGTACTACTGTAGTATCGAACAAGGGATTGCTACTTCCAGTACTTGCAGACTGAGCAGCTAGTTTTGCTACGACCACACCTACTGAAATACCCGCAGCAGTCACTGAAATTGCTGCAACAACCGTAGCTACGTTGATAGCAATGCGAAGAAACAACGCTGGAGAATGAATTATCATGGCAATTCCAGGCATTTTGAATTTCTAAAGATTAAGGCCCAATAAATATTTATACGCTCACTCTCTGAATAGATATATATATATGTAATATATATTAACTGAAATTAGTAGTTCACTATGCAAAACATATACCGTTTAAATATTTTATTTTAGCGAAAATACTCCATTACATAAAAGACAGTGATGTAATATATAAATAAATATGCATGAATCAACCATTTTTATTAATTGCAGTAAGATAAAGAGCATAACATAAGAGAAGTAAATGCAATATAAAGGAATATAGAAAAATATTTATTTTCAATCAATCGAAGCTGCTATTTCCTTTTTTTCAATGTCCGACGGGGATAAATCAAAATGATATGTCCGTGAAGCATAACGGTTAAATAAACGTACATAGCGAGTATCTGAAAAAAACGTTTCGCTAATTAACAACACAAGACGTCTCACTTGTTTTTTACTTTTTCTCTTATTATATGTAGACATTTTTTTTAATCGTGAAATAAAATAGTATGTACTCATAGTTGACCTATGTCGCAGTTTATTTTCTTATTTTTTACTTGTTTTATTAAATATTTTATGAGAGATTATAAATAACTTTTTAGTATAATATATTTACGTATCGTTAATTTATTTAGCATGGCAAAACAATAGTTACTGAATCTCCTGCTACCTCATTCTCAAATGTTGGCCATCCAGACAAACTTGAAATTAAAGATGAAAGCAATTGTAATTAAAAACGTATTCAATAAATCTCTTTTTCACAGATAACGACACTTTTACAATACATTCCTTAATCAAACAAATTGAATCTTTTTAAAAAATAAACTACAAATAATCATAAAATGTGATGTTGATTAAAATGACAAATATGCAAAACAAGACATTATAACTGATCATGTTCCTGCAAATGTATTAAAACTTGCTTTACTGTTTTTTTTCAATTAATGTAAAGTATTGTATCTTTTCATGATTATATTATTGAAACAGATGATATAGTGATAGTTATTTATCTCCTTTTCAGAAGATATTTGATGCTAATATTCTTGAGATTGATTATTATATTTTCATCTTTGACACACCTTAGCAATATGTATTAAACTGAAGTATTAGTAGAATTATTGAATATTATCGATGAAAATAATTTGAATATTTTTACTTGAAGTTGTCGTATTATTTATGAATATATTGATGGATATAATGTAATAAAAGGCTTCTATTGAATTGCTAAGTAAATTTATTGAAAAACTAAGTAAAATATCGTAAATCTGTAGGGAAACATATAAATTTTGGGTCGTGAAAAAACATAAATATTTAAGTAAAAAATTTAATCATGCAATTATTCTATTAATAAGGCTTTTGTTGCTTTCGTGGTCATCCTTGTTTCCGTTTTTAACACAAAGATATATCCTTTGTTGTTGAAGGTGGTGTACGAATTTCATACAATTTTTTGTGACTCTAATTTCAAATTAAATAATTTTTCAATTTTTTCTTTAGTTTCTTGAAGAAGAGTTTTACTTGTTTCGAACCTTTTATAATTGTGTTCATTTGTTGTGCGAATCAATACTACTTTATCACAGTCATCTGGATAATTTTAAAAAACCTACTCTATCGAATTGTTAGCCATGAAATTCTACTTGATTACATCAATAATGAACTTTCATTTTATCATGACTTTTATTAGAATAATGACGACTTCATTGTTTTTTTCTTCAATAATTAATTAAGCTTGTTCATCATCAGAAAAACTTTGATTGTTCCTTTACTTCAGTATCAAATAAATTTTTGTTAACGGGCAAGAAATCAATCTGACTAATTGATGACGAATGAATAGTTTTATTTTACAAAAAGGCAAAACATATATGTGAGCGTGATAAGACAAGTCCGAGATAGTAGAAGAAAGTAGAATGGAAGGGGAAAGTACCTGAACAATAAGTATTTGGAAAATACCTTTAAACCGAAAAAAGATGAGGAAAAACGATGTTGATCTATGTGTATCTTACATGTCATCTGTACGATATACTATAAGAGAAGAAAAAAAGAAAATATATACGTCATACGATCAGCAAATAAATTTAATCTTACGTTTTATAAATTTACTTTGATTTAGTTTTAATTTATTAACTTAATAAAAAATTTTTTTATTGAGATATTAATTATTGAACTTCGCAAATGTTTTTATTCTTGAGAAAATTAAAATTAGATGAACATTCAACAGTTTTACTTAGCGCTTACATTAATTACTGAGAATATAGAAATTTTACTCACCGAACGCTGACTTAGCATTTAAAAAGTAATCGTAATAAAATATTAGATTATTCCTATCCTTCTATATGTTTATAGAATCTTAAATATGGTCTTTTTTTTATTATTCAACAACATTCAGTAAATAACTCATTTCGAACAATTGAAACTAGTAAAATACCACTTTAATATTAATGGAAACTTCAGAGATGACTGAAAAAAAATAATTACTAATACAAACTCAAACAGGAATTCTAGTTTCAAAAAGAATACTCGTCAAGTTTACATTGAACAGTTAATACTTCAGAATATCATCTTTCAAACAAAAATAATCTGTATAAAATCTGTTCTATCTTCTGGTTTTTCTTATTTCATGTGTAGCTTTTAATATTCTTTTCGTAACAAATAATTAAAAAAACTGGCTAAATAATTCATGCACATATAAAAATTATATTTTCAAATAAATATTGTTATCCTTAACCAACGAGAGGAGTAGTTGATTCTGTGGCGGTTGTAGTCGTTGTCGGTGTTCATGTTGATAGTCCTACCGTTCCTCCATTAAAAGCTGCTCACCGTCCAGATTAGTGTTGGTAAAGTAACATTATTGGCTTCATTTAATAATGATGTAGGAATAGTATTATCGTTAGCTAAAAATGATGTATCACCAACTACCTCAGATAGTGGCTCTATTTTGGACAATGCGGGATTAAAGTTACTTTCGCTAGAACTTTTATTTGCACATATATCAACTAAAACAATAGGTGGATTGAATGATTTCAATGCATCCATAATCTTATTAGGATCAATCTCATTGCCTTTTGTAGTATTGAAATAAAGTGTACCATTTAGATAAATAACTGATGTTCGATTACTGCCGTTGTCAAACATCGAAATATTACAGCTGCTGATGTTGCTGCTGTTGAAGGTCGTTGGTTGTGCAGTAGTTGTTTGAGAAGCGCCAAAAATACCTGATGCAATAGTAGAAGAGGGAGATGACGAAGTGGAAAAATATCGAGTTAATGATTGAGAATAGTATGATATTGTTGAGAATGTGGTAGTAGAAGTTGGCGTGGATGACTGTGCAGTATATGAAGGTCCTGTGCCACCTGCAGAGTCGATTTCAGTTGTCGACTGAATTACATTCATTGACGTTGTTGGTGATATTTTTTGGGTCGGTGTCGAGGTGCTAGGTTTCATAGTAGGTTCCCCGCAATTGATGCCAAAAATACCACAACCCATATTCGGCTTTGCTACTGGATCTCTTCTTCTTCTTCTTCGACGCGTAGGATAATTTTCAGGATTTAACGAAAATCCCGAAATAACAGCTTTAATGAATTGATTCGGAAATTGTTGTCCTAAGTATTTATTTAATGCATCCACCAAGTCTAATAGTGTT